TGTGTGCAGGTACCCAAGGTTCCGGCTGTGACCCCAGGGAGCCCCTTCTCAGCCTGGGGGTGGAGCCATCTTTTCTGGAAACTTTGCCTCCCTCCTGGGCTGCGGTGGAGGCCAGCACGGTCAGCTGGCGACATCTAGCGGCAGCCCCCAGCTCCTACATCGCCTCAGCCGCAGCCGCCACCATGCTCGGCTGCTGTTCCCGTCCTGCCCTGCCGTCCTCTCCCCTGAGTGACCAGGCCACCAGGCTGCTCTGTGCCAAAGCCCTGTGTGGGGTCAGTAAGACCCCGGGGACCCTGAGCGGCCCCTGGACGCGCTCTCTCCCACAGGAGCAGGCTGGCTTGTAACAACTCCCCCGGGATCCCACCCAATGCACTTTCGTTCCAGAGGAAGGGTTGTCCCAGCAGCTCAGCCATCATCCAGGTCCACCCTGCAAGAATGTGCAGCGGTCTTTGCCTTTCCCAGAGTGGAATTTATGTATTTATGTATGTATTTATTTACTAGAAAGGCGGAGAGAGACAGGAAGACAGAGAACGCTTCCATCTGCTGGCTCACTCCCTCAAATGCCTGCAACAGCCATGCCTGGGCCAGGCCAAAGCTAGGAGCCTGGAATGCCACCCAGGGGCCCAGGGTGCATATTAGCAGGCAGTGGATTGGAAGTGGAGCCAGAGCTCAGACCCAGACACTCTAATATGGGTGAGCTACAGCACCTGCCCCTGGAGCGATCCTTTCAAAAAAGAAATTTATTTACATTTTTATGTATTTATGTTTATTTATGTATGTATTTGAAAGACAGAGAGTAAGAGAGATATCGTCCACCAACTAGTTCACGCCCCGAAAGTCCACAACAGCCAGGGCTGGGCCAGGCTGAAGCCAGGAACCAGGAACGCCATCCAGGCCTCCTACATGGGTGGCAGGGCCAAGCACTTGGGCCATCATCTGCTGCCTTCCCTGGAACAAGAACAGGAAGCTGGACGCTAAGCAGAGTAGCTGGGACCCAAACCGGCACTCCAGCGCGGGATGTGGGCATCCCAGCAGCAGCTTAGCTCGGACACCGCAATGCCCAGCTCTGGAGGGATTCTTGTACAGCCAACTGTTCATTTCTTATTAAAAAAAAAAAAATTTTGGCCGGCGCCGTGGCTCAATAGGCTAATCCTCCGCCTGTGGCGTCGGCACACTGGGTTCTAGTTCCAGTCGGGGCACCGGATTCTGTCCCAGTTGCTCCTCTTCCAGGCCAGCTCTCTTCTGTGGCCCGGGAGGGCAGTGGAAGATGGCCCAAGTGCTTGGGCCCTGCACCCGCTTGGGAGACCAGGAGAAGCACCTGGCTCCTGGCTTCCAATCAGCGCGGTGCACCAGCCGCAGCGTGCCGGCTGCAGCGGCCATTGGAGGGTGAACCAACGGTAAAGGAAGACCTTTCTCTCTGTCTCTCTCTCTCACTGTCCACTCTGCCTGTCAAAAAAAATTTATTTTATTTATTTGAAAAACAGAGTTATAAAGAGAGGTAGAGAAGGAGAGAGGGGTCTTCCATCCACTGGTTCACTCCCCAGATGGCCTCAATGGCCTGAGCTGTGCCAAAGCCAGGAGCCAGGAGCTTCTTCTGGGTCTCCCATGTAGGTGCAGGGGCTCAAGGACTTAAGCCATCTTATACTACTATCCCAGGCCACAGCAGAGAGCTGGATTGGAAGTGGAGCAGCTGGGTCTCGAACTAGCGCCCATATGGGATGCTGGCACCTCAGGCCAGGGTGTTAACCGGCTGCACCACAGCGCCGGGCCCCCAATTGTTAATTGCTATCCAACTGCACCCACAGTGTTTTTCTGCTACTGGGCCCTCTCCACCCACTCTTCTCCCTTCCGTCACTTCCACACAGTCACTGCTTCCCTCCCGCTTGTCCACTCTCCCCACACCGTCCTGCCGTTTGTCCACTCATCCACCTGCACTCGTTTCATAATCAGCTTGTACGCACCTAGTGCAGGAGACAAACAGGCACAAATGCCCAAGAGCACAGGGAACGTGGGGACATCGAGGCAGGACTGCCTGCTCTGCCCTGTGTCCCACCTCCAGGCAGATAAAGAGCCAGCCAGGCCACAGCCCTTCCTGAAGCCACTGCACCTGCCGACTCACTTGCCCATCCCAAGGGATTGTGAGGGATGACTCCTTGTCCACACAGCCACAGGGGGCCGGCTCTGCCACACCTTCGTGCAAAGTTCACTCTCTCTCTCTTAAAATCTATTTATTTGAAAGCAGAGTTGCAGAGAGAGAGAGAGAGAGAGAGAGAGGGAGGAAGAGAGGGAGAGAGAGAGAGCATTTTCAATTGCTGGTTCACTCCCTCAATGAACGCAAAAACTCGGGCTGGGCCAGGTCAAAGAAGCTGGGAGCTTCACGCGTGTCTCCCACATGGGCGGCAGGGCCCCAAGCACTTGGGCCATTTTCCGCTGCTTTCCCAGATGCATTAGCATGGAGCGGGTTGGGAAGTGGAGCAGCCAGGACCCCAACTGGGGCTCAAGTGGGATGCGGGCATCACAGGTGGTGGCTTAACCCACAGCACAACAACAGGCCTCACTGGCCCTTATCTCTGCTGTGCCCTCAGGGCCCATTCCCCTGACCTGCTGGACTTCCCGGGCTGGCCCTTCTGTCCTAGGCTTGTCAGCTGGGCAGGGTGTGTGCCTGGCCCCAGGGCGTGCGCGGCTCAAGCATTCCTTCTGTGCATCTGCTCAGGGGACACCAAGGGCTCTCCAGCACCCCGGAGAGGCAGGCCGGGCGGAGATCTGCGACAGAGGGGACTTTGGAGAGTCCTTCCTCTGACCACTTTCTGGGGGTGCGGGGGAGGAATGAGCCCCAGCCTGCGAACGCCCTTGCCAGCTGAAGTCAGAACTGGAACACTGGCCTCCTCACTCCTCCCAACCAGGCCACTCCCTAGCCCGGGACAGGCCTGCTGGTAAGGAGAGGTCAGGGGCCAGTGGAGCAAAGACCCTGGCTCACGTGCAGGGCCGGCCACCATCATTCAGAAGGCCACCAGGCTACGGACCATTTAGGGTTCCCTCTCTGGTTAAAGAGCCCAAACAGATTTTTTTTTTTTTGGCCCAGAAGGAGAAGAGGGAGAAAGAGGTCGTCCATCTGCTGGTTCACTCCCCAAATGGCCACAAAGGCCAGAACTGTGCTGATCTGAAGCCAGGAGCCTGGAGCCTCTTCTGGGTCTCCCATGTGGGTGCAGGGACCCAAAGACTTGGGCCATCCTCCACTACACTCCCGGGCCGCAGCAGAGAGCTGGACTATTTTACTCTCAGCAGCAAACAAACAAACAAAAAGCCTTCTGTTTCCTTTCAGCACCACTCTCTCTCCTCCCATTCCACTCACCCTCCCCCAAAACTGTACAAAAAGATTTTCCATGCATCATTACCCCGTTCTGGAAGCCCAGTATTGGGACAATGCTGGTTTGGACTTTGTTCAAATCCAGGTCCTACCATGGTGCTGTGGGCATGTTTCAACCTCCGGGTCTCAGCTCTATGAGGTTACGAAGGGGGATGTAATAGCTGGGTAGGGCTTGAATGTCCCCACAAAACTCACTGGGACCTAGAATCCCCATTGCAAGGTACTAGGAGGCAGTCCCAGGCAGGCCCTTAAAGAGACAGTTAGGTGGTGAGGCTTCTGCCCTCGTGGAGGAATCCACCCGTGGACTACCGCATAATCTCTAGATCTAACGGGTAGATCTGTTACAAAGCCAGCCAGGCTCTTTCTCTTGTCTGTGCCCCTCTTGTCTGGGCCTTCGTGCCTGGGGACACCGCAGAGGCCCCAGCAACAAGACTTCACCAGGTGCAGCCCCTCGAGCTCGGCGCTCTCGGCCCCCACACCTGGGAGCGGAATAAAACTGCCCAGTCTGTGGCATTCAGTTACAGCCACAGAAAATGATGCTCCTGCCGTTACCATTCCTCTTTCTGGTGGGCATCCCAGCTCACACTAGAGTGTTGATGACTTAATATTTGGATTTGCATTTTAAGTACCCACTCAGGGCCGATGGCTTAGGTACCTGGGTCCCTGCCACCCGTGTGGGATACACAGATAAGAGTTCCAGGCTCCTGGCTTCAGCCTGGCCCAGTTCAAGATGTTACAGACATTTGAGGAATGAAGCAGAGTACAGGAGATCTCTGTCTCTCTTTCAAATACAAATTTTTAAAAACCTTTGTTGTAAGGCCGGTACTGCGGCTCACTAGGCTAATCCTCTGTCTTGCGGCGCCGGCACACCGGGTTCTAGTCCCGGTCGGGGCGCCGGGTTCTGTCCCGGTTGCCCCTCTTCCAGGCCAGCTCTCTGCTGTGGCCCGGGAGTGCAGTGGAGGATGGCCCAAGTGCTTGGGCCCTGCACCCCATGGGAGACCAGGATAAGCACCTGGCTCCTGCCTTCGGATCAGCGTGGTGCGCCGTCCGCAGCGTGCTGGCCGTGGCGGCCATTGGAGGGTGAACCAACGGCAAAGGAAGACCTTTCTCTCTGTCTCGAGCTCTCACTGTCCACTCTGCCTGTCAAAAATAAAAAAAATTAAAAAAATTAAAAAAAACCTTTGTTGTAATATAAATTTTAAAAAGAGCCTACAAGAACTGTCCTTATAACTGAACTACATCCCTCCTGGTGCAGGGAGACGGATCAGCCGGGGGTGGGATGCAGAGGGGTCATCGCGTTCCATCCAGGCGGCTGCCTGGCTCTGCACCAGCCCAGTCCTACAAGTTGGTTTGAAGAACTCAGCTGGCTATGAAATCCCAGCAGTCGTGACCCTGTGTGTGTGTGGAGACCCCCACAACAAAAGGCTCCACTTCCTCTTCCTCGTTCTCATGGTCAACACATAATGAGGACTTCCTGTGCAGTCAACAGTGCCAAAAACATGCAGAGCCTCGTGCTTCTCCTTTGGGTGGACTTCCAAGCAGCCTGAAATCTCCCACGGTGAGAGGAAGGGGGTGGGACAAAGGTTGGCCTAATCTCGCAACAACCCCAATACAGAAGCAACCAGTATCCAGCTTGAGAGAAAGCACATTTCACGTGGCCTTTTATTTATGCTTCGCTTCAATATCTCTAATGGTTAGAAAATCAGTGGCAGATACACACATGGGTAAACCTCTAGACATACAAACGGCAGTAATTACTAAAGAACACAATTAATAAATGTTCTACGAAAATGCTTGGCCAGAAATATTTTTCAGGAGACAAGTTAGACATCGGGTGCACAAGGAGCAAGGGGCAGAGCCTCAGTGGGCTCAGGAGATGAGCATCCAAGGGTCCCACCAGGTGACACGGCGGCAGCTCATACCACAGGCTGCACCTGCTGCCCTTGGCCTCAAGAGTCACCGCTCCAGAGACGAATGAACCACTTCAAGATGAAGCCGGGGTGGCTCCACTCCAGGATACTCTGGTTCAAACCGGGGAATTAAGTCTTCCCAAAAGCCAAAAATCCCAATTGCAGACGGGTCCATCAGGGGCTAATGAACCAAAAAGCCAAGCCAAACCCACCCTGAGCACAATTTTTGGTTGCACAGAACGATACTCTTCCCAAATTAACTCATGTTCGAGCTGCTTAGTTTTTACTTCTGTGTGAAAGCTGCCAACTCAATAGTGTCTCAGCGGAGAGATCCGGGCCTAACGCACGCCTGGGAAAACACATTCATTAACATACCTCAAGTTTATAGTAAATGAGCTCTGATGTCACAGAGCTCATCTCAAAATGTAGAATTTACGTCACTGGATCTGGCACACTAACTTGAATTTAGGACTAATATCATCTTCTCTATCCATTTTGTCCCATCCCCAGACCCCAGACTTATTTACATTTAAGATCATATATGATGCCAATATTATCAAAGCTCCTTACCTAACATAATAAATAAGCAATTTTAAGCACCAAAGCATGCTTCCTTCAAGTTGCATCTAAAATATTAAGCATTCAATCTCAGCTTTTAGTTCATTTTAAAACTCTCGATATGGACATCTCTACGTAAAAGGAGTAAGTGCTTTGGAAGATATGATGAGAACCACCAGCCTCCTCTCAGATCTCAGTGTCTGGAAGCAGTAGCCCACGTGCTTATTGAAGGCCACCGACAGCAGAACCGTGGTCAAGGAGACAGATCCACTGCAGCCTAATGGGGAGGGAGTGCTCCCTGGAGCATTCGTGGAAAGAAACGAGAGTTCACAGTGGAAAAGGATGGGCAATCATTTGGCCTTTCTTCTCCATTACATCCGCTCGCAAGCAGGGAAACCTATCAGGCGGCGAAGAAACACAGATAGGCTCGGAGACACAGGTGTGAAGTCTGTGTTCTCTCAGCTGCCTCACAAGTTACTGAATCAGAGACATTTATGACTTGGACTTCAAAGGAGAAGGCAGACACTCTACGCCAGTACAGGCTCCGAGGGCACTCCGGGACTTAGCTGGCACAGAGAACAAAGAGCAAGATGCCAGACAAGTGGAGTTCTCAGTTCTAGCAACAAACCGTCACATTAGCAGATGGTAGCGGTTCACGTTTTGTTTTTCAGTTAAGGTCTGGAAGAACCACAATGGTTGCTGGACAAAGGGACCAAGGCTTAAGCTCAAGTACTTGAGATTTCTTAGCTGAAGCAACAGCACTGAACAATAGCACTGGAAAATGCACAGAAAAACATCCCCAAGCAAGCAGGATCCCAACCCTTGCCTGAACTGTCAGCTGCACCACAGACAGAAATGAGGAAGCCAGACCGAGCGATTTTGCTTTTCTTTCCAGCGGGTGGCATGAGGTGGTGAGAGGGGATCGAGTAATGTCGCTGAACTACACTGAAGACTTTTTCCTGATGCGCTACAGGAAAACAACACTGTCGGTTCTGTGGGATTATAGCTGCGTTTCCATTTAGGGACACATTTCCTGTTGTGTCAATGCCACAGCAATTCATAAGATGAAATTCACACCCCCGAAAGGCTCCACGTGGCTTAATGTTCAAGTAAACACAGGCTCTGCGGCCCACGGAAACCACGATAAGTTCCACTTGTGTTTTTGTCCCAGCTGGGCAGGCTAAATGCGGTGTAATACCTGAGCAACGGGACTGCCCAGTTCTCCAGGCTAGCGACAAGCGTCCCATCTGGTAAGCCACACTCCTCTCTCCTCCCCACTGCCTCCCGCGACGCAGACAGAAGGCCTCCGCTGCGGGGACTGTTCTGAGGCCCTTCGCGAATTCCCCTTTCCAGATTCGGGCTGACTCTCAAGTCTGCCGTCCGCCGAGTACACCTGTCCTGCCTTGAACACCCGTCAGGACCACCACGTGCCAGAGCATCTGATCAACTTCCCCGCAACCGTCTGGAGAGGGAACAGGCGAAGGCTTCTCTCCAGGCCGTACTGTGCCGGCAGCAGCAGAGCAGAGCAGAGGTAGGACGCGTCAGGGGGAATGAACAGGAGGATGTCTGAGAGGTATGATCAGCAAGGTTAGGTGCCATAAATAACCCCTAGAGTGAGTCAGGAAGGAGAGTTCACTAATGCAAGAGAGGTTCAGAGTTAAGGCTTAGACACAAGTTACCTATGGCTCAAAGATTCTGGGGAGGGTCTCCGTGGAGGGGACCGAAAGCCGTAGAAGTGAATTCAGCTGGTCCCGGGGGGCCAGGCCCAGTCACGCTGGCGGTGAGCCTGCCTCCAAGCAGCAGGAATCAAACTAAGATGGAACTGGAATGCAGTATCACAAAATGTGTCCACAATCACAACAGAGATCGTCACAACAGAGACACGTGTGCTGTGGTATGCGTTGTAAACTTAAGCTTTAGGACTTAAAAAAAAAAATGAAAACAAAAACTTGGTTGCCTAGAAATGTGACTGAATTCAAGAAAATGATCCAATTTGCAGGTTTTTGCAGCTGGGCCTCGGAAGAGCCTGCAGTTTTTCTTCTTGGAATCATGATTAAATTTACCCTCCACAGGCCTGGGCTGACAGCGTTGAGCCTCTTTATGAGAGGACGCAAAAGACACAGCCTCCAAGGCCTGCCCTCTGCAGAGGGTAGTTAAGCAGAACGCGAAGGAACCACTGCTATTGTTTTCAATCAAGGCTTTTCTCCACCTCCTCGTATTGGCCAATCATTCAGCAAGCGACGTCTGCCTGCCCTTAGAGCAGTAAGGTTTGAACAGCTTGCTTATAGCATACGTGAAAATATTTTCAAGAGCATTTACGCTTGCCTTGGCTGTAGGATGGGAGGCTCTTAACCGCCCCGGTAATAAGCATCAATGGAGTCTGAGTTAAAATAGACCACAGTGACAGTGATGTCATCCCGGTACATCCGCGCCAGGTCCTCCGGCAGCGTCAGCATGGCCGTCAGCCGCTCCGGCTCCATCTCGCCGTATTCATTACTGCCCAGGGCGTGTCTGATCAGATGCGTGGCAGCATTTCGGTCGGCCGCAGGGAGCCCGCTGGCTTTCCTCTGCAGCAGCAGACTCTGCATGAGCCCCAGGTTGGTGCGTCCCTGGGCCAGGTCTGGCTTGTGCCGACCCACGTCGGCCAGGTGCCCCACCACCAGCCTCACCACGTCCTCGTTGCTCAGCACGTCCCACAGGCCATCGGAGGCCAGCACGAGGAACTTGTCCTGGGGCCTCAGCTTGTGGTACGTGACCTCGGGCTTGGCAGTCAGGTAGGGCGGCGTGTGGTAGTGGGGGGGCGTGAACTGGTAAATGTTGAGGGCCTCTGTGTCGAAGCCCCTCCCCAGGACGCTGCGCTGCAGCTCCGGGCTCCACTTGAGCTGAACGTCCCCGAAGGCCCTGCAGGGCAGCAGGATGCCTAGCAGCCTGTCATCTACGACGATCGTCCTGCCCTCTGACTCGGGGTGCTCCCTCTTCAGCCGGGACAGCTCGGCCTCGTTCCAGGCATTGTGGTCACGGGTAAGGGGCAGACAAGACCACCTGCCGTTGTCCTCCTGCACACCCAGGATGGCCCGGCAGTCACCGGCGTTTGCCACATGCAAGTGCAGGCCGTTGATGTGGGCCATGCAGGCTGTTGCCCCAGAGAAGGCGACCTGGAGCGACAAGTTCTTGGCCATCTCGTCCTCCAGGGGGGCCTGGATTTCCAGCGAGATGTCAGAATCCAGTCTTTGGAAGGAGTGTATCAATGCCTCTTCGATACTCGGTCCCATTTCCATGTGCAGGTCAAGCAGTTCCTGCCAGTAGACGCGGAGGTGGTCGAGGTGCACCGAGGTGACATTCTTGTAGATGCTGTCCCCTGGGTGCTTCAGCCACTGCAGGATGGGTAGCACGGGCTTCATGTTTTCCATGGCTCCCTCCATCTGCTCCAGGGTCTGATAGGACATCAGGGACACCGCCACATAGTAGAAGAGTCTCTCGCTCACGGCTTGTGCGCATGCGGGACCACCATGTCCATCGAAGACCCCGAACATCAGTCCGTCGGTCTGCAGGCAGGAGGCCACGCCTCGCCGGTCCTCCACGGGGGAATTGGCAGCCAGCTGGTTGCTTTCAAATCGCAACACTGAATTCGGGGCTCCGCTGTTGAGGTTGAGAATCTTGTGGGTCAACTCGCTGGCCCGAAGCACTTCATTTACCTGCTCGGGGCCGAGCTGCAAGTGGAAATCCTCTTCCTCCGTCGACGTGTGTCTGCAGGCTTTCTGCAGGGCAAAGCCACCAGCCGGGAATTTGCTTTGTAAGGTGGGTGGCGCCTGGGAAAAGAACCTCCCTCTCAGACTCCTCTGCAGGACATATCTTGAATACAAACGTCTGCCCCCTTGCCACGTGGCAACGCTCTTCCTGGCGGAACTTAAGATCCGGGAGGACACCGTACCCGACATTCTGAAACTCCGTCAGCAACTATGTCAAGACCGTGTTTACACCTGAAAATCAAAGAGTTCAAGAAAAATTCGAATCTGATTTCTTACAAAGACTGACTTCTGAAACGTTTAATTGGCCAATATCCTGAAACAGAGCTGATCCAAAGCAAGCTAGAGTCCCGTGGCACTCTGACACGTGGTCGGAACGTCACACACAGAGCCAGCTGCCGCACCCTGAGGAACTGCCTCAGGGGACCTCCACTGTACACAGGATCTGTTGTTGACAGAAACCTTAATAAATGGCTGGCGCCGCGGCTCACTAGGCTAATTCTCCGCCTTGCGGCTCCAGCACCCGGGTTCTAGTCCCGGTCGGGGCGCCGGATTCTGTCCTGATTGCCCCTCTTCCAGGCCAGCTCTCTGCTGTGGCCCGGGAGTGCAGTGGAGGATGGCCCAAGTGCTTGGGCCCTGCACCCCATGGGAGACCAGGATAAGTACCTGGCTCCTGCCATTGGATCAGCGCAGTGCGCCGGCCGCAACGTGCCAGCTGCAGAAGCCATTGGAGAGTGAACCAATGGCAAAGGAAGACCTTTCTCTTTGTCCCTCTCTCACTGTCCACTCTGCCTGTCAAAAAAAAAAAAAAAAGAAAAAGAAACCTTAATAAATGTCACATGTAGAGCTGGCTACACTCAGAATACAGGGGGCCGGTGTTGTGTTGTAGTGGGTAAAGCCGCCGCTAGTGATGCCCGCATCCCGTATGGGCGCTGGTTGGAGCTGAGGCTGCTCCACTTCCAACCTAGCTCCCTGCTAATGCACCTGCGAGAGCAGCAGAGGATGGCACAAGTACTTGGGCTCCCCGGATCCACATTGGGAGACCAGGGTGGAGTTCCAGGCTCCTGGCTTCTGCTTGGCCCAGCCCCGGCCATTGCAGCCACGTCAGGAGTGAACCAGAAAGATGGAAGCTTTCCCTCCTTTTGTCTCTCCCTCTCTAACAGTGCCTTTTAAATAAATTTTAAAAATTATTTTAAAAAGGCAGAGAGTTTACTTGAAAGGCAGAGAGTTACAGAGAGGCAGAGGCAGAGAGAGAGAAGTCTCTCTTCTGAAATGGAGCAGCTGGGACTTGAACCGGTGCCCATATGGGATGCCAGCCCTGCAGGCAGTGGCTTGACCTGCCTTGCCACAGTGCCGGCCCCAAATTAAATCTTTAATTTTTAAAAGTGCAGTATGAAGACATTTTGCACCAACATAGACTTATCTTTTTATTGATTTTACTTTTTGAAATTTGTTTGAAAGAGCTACACCATTTCAACAGGAACAATCCCAATTTACTAAGCTATTCTCAGTCTCCGGGGATGTAGAGGTCAACCCCACGAACTTGCTGTGTACTGCCTCCTGCAGACTCTCCCAACTTAGGTCTCATCCTGCTTATTTCCAAGCGAGGAATTAGGAGGCCAAAGGGCGAAGCTCGCTGCCAAGGTCATTTCCAACTGCTTCGAATTTGCCTCCGTGGGACACAAAGGTTTCCTAGGACCTTCACCAGCCTCGGGTGGTATTTTTCCTTGGACAGCAAACAAACAAAAAACCCACACAACTACCCTATTTTCACTAGCTTTTCTCGCGTGAGCGAAACGAGGCGCATTCCCCACGAGCGTTTAGATTTCATTTAGGAATTCCAAAGACCCCGCGGAGCCCACCCCGCCCACCCTGGGGCAGCAGCTGTGGGTCGCGGGGTGCAGAGGGCGCCCCACCCTCCGGGTAAACTGCCCGGACCAGTTTCGCGCCCCTAAACAAAACGCACAGATCCCCCCACCCCGCTCAAGTCTCTGGTCGCAGCCTCTGCGGCTGGTGCCCCGGCTCGGGGGTCACCCAGCCGCAGACCCTGGCGCGGCCCGGTCCCGGGCGTCTCCGAGCCTCCGCGTCCCAGCTTGGGAACGGTGGGCGTTCGGAAGGTCGTCGAGCGCACTGGGGTGCTCGCAGGGCCAACGCCAAGGGTGCGGGCCCCGGTGAGTCCGCGCACCCACGTGGCGCCAGCGCGCAAGCAGGGTGACGGTGATCGCCGGCCCGGCTAGTCCGTCCGGGCCCCGAGCCCGCCCCCTCGCCTCACTTCACCTCACCTCGGTTCTCCGCCCCATCGCCTGAGCCAGTGTCGCCGGACCGGGGAGAGGCCGGGCGAGCAGGCCGCGGCGCCCACGCCCCTCCTTGGTCCACTACCTACCTCGGACCCTCGTCCTCTTCGCGCCAGCCGCTGCCGCTGCCGTCGGGTCGGTCCCGTCAGCTCCGAGTCCTCGCACAGCGCCGCTGCAGCCGCCGCCACCCGAGTCTCTCCTCCCCAGCGCGGCCCCTCAAGGAGGGACCCAGCTCCGGAAGAAAGCGCCCTCCTACCATTTCCTATTGGTTCATCTGCGGAGGCGGGCCCTTGATGGACGGTGAGATTGCCCAATGGCTGCAGAGGGCAGGAGGCTGGCCGAAAGGCTAAACCGGGAGTGGCCGGCACCGCCCCCCTCGGCCTCTCCGCACCCAGATTCTGAGGATCTTAGAGCGCGGGACTGCGGGGGCCGGGCAGTCACGTGTCTGCACACCCCAGCTACCTGACCGTCGTCACTCTGAACGCCCCCGAGGCGAGCTGCCACTCCAGTCACTTCCTGTTGGTAACGTCCCACGGCTTCCTCCTAGCCACCGCACCCGTACTTGCAACCCCTGGGACAACTCCCGTCCGGAGGCCCCGTGGGCGTTCAGTGGTTAACTTGCCCTGAGCGCCTCTTGCCGCCAACCCTCTCTTCCTTTCCTCCTCTTTGTCGGTGACGTCCCTGGCTGTTTGTGTTGAGGTCCAAGCCAGAAGCCTGGGGGGTCATCTTGGTGCCCCCCTGGCCTCCCCACCTTCCTTTCAAGTGTGGAATCATGCGATCCTGGCTCCTAAAGACCTCTCCAGTCGCCCATTTGCCTTCAGCTCCCCACCCTAATCCAAGCCCCTCATGTGGTCTCCAACCTCCAATACTGACTGGCCAGGACAGCCAGGGCCGTGGCGCTTCTGAAGCTCACCTGCCTGTCCTGAAGTCTTGCGTGTCCTCGACCACCGCCCCACCTTGACAGTTACACCGGCTGCCCCTGACCATCGCCTCTGCAGGTTGAGCAGCCATAGCTTGCAGCAAAAAGGTTAGCAGGACTCAAGCCAGCAATTAACAGTGCTTGTCTGTGGGCCTTGGCCACTCTTACCATATTTTTTTTTTCCTTTCCATGTATCCCCTTACTTTCTGTTTTATTTATTTTCACTTCATATGAAAGGCAGAGAGACAGAGAGGGACACAGGCAGACAGATCCCCCACCCTCTGGTTCACTCCTATAAACACCTGCAACAGTCGCAGCTGTTCAGCCCAAGCCAAGAGACCCCCACGAAGGCAGCAGGGACCCAAGTAAGTGAGCCATCATCACCTGCTGCCTCCCAGGGTGTGCATGGAATTGCCAGCAGAACAGACCGAGCCCCAGTCTTTTAACACCCAGCGTGCCTCATGCCTCGCAGGCTAGTGCAGGAGTGGGAGGGAAGAGGACACCGCACAGCCCATTGTCCTGGGGCTGGGGAAGCAGCTGGGAGGAGGGCAGAGTTCACCCTGGCCCCAGGGGTGCGACTGGAGCTTGGATCAGGCAATCAGGATGACTTCTCTGATAAGATAGGCTTTGGAGAGAGATAAGGAAGTCTGGAGCCAGCTGGAGGAATCTGGGAAAGAACATTGCTGGGAAAGAGAAGTGCGGTGGGCTAAGGGCGGAGTTGGTGAGTTCCGAGGGAGAGATGGGATTTTCTGGCCTGGCTGCCTGCCCCGCCTACAAAGCTCGGGCTCTGACAAGTTATCCTGGAGAAGGAACTTCATGACAGCCAATCCAGTCATCTCTGCAGGAAACTCCTCTTTGCTGGGGAAACCCTGCACTCTGACGTCCGTCCTTTGAGATGTAAAATAAAATCCTGAGGCCTGAACCCACTTCCGCTAGAACCAGGGCTGCCCCCTAGTCTCCAAGGGGCCAGACGGAGGGTCTCCGAGGCCGGATGGGAAACCGCTGTCCCCTGCAGTGTTGCTTTTTTGCATATTCATTGTCAGATAAAGACCCTAATTGATATGGGGCCTCTGCCTCCACGGGTGCTGACCAGGAGTATGGGTGTGGTCTAAGCTCCGTCCTTCCTTCCTCAGCTGCCTGGGTGTATGTGTGTGTGTGTGTGGATGCCAGGTGAGTGTGGGTCCAACAGGCTCCTGGAAAACCCAGCCAATAGCCACAGTCAAAGCCTACCCACTTGTGGGTGCCTCAGTGCAGCAGTTAAGATGCCACTTGGAATGCCCACATCTTGGGCGGAGCTTCCTGCTAATGCACACCTGAGTTAAGTTAACTCACTTGGGTTCCTGCCACCCAAGTGAGTTCCAGGCTCCTGGCTTCCGCCCGGCCTAGCCCAAGCTGCAGATGGGCATCCGGGGAGTGAACCAGCAGATGGAAGATCTCTCTGTTGGTGCCCCTGCCACCATTGCTGGAAGCCAGGTGGCCACAAGGCCCAACCACTGGTGTCAGCCCCACCCCCATCCTAATGGTACTCAATGCTCCTACTTCCCTGCCCGCCCCCCCTGCAAAGTTTTAAAAGGCTCTCTTTCTCTCTGTCTCCTGATATCTCTCTCTCTCTCTCTTCCCCCATCTCTTGATCTCCCTCGCTCATTCTCTCTCACGCTCTCCTCCTCCCTCTTTTCCTTCCTTGCCCCTTCCCTCCAGTCTGTCGGGTTTCCCCCCAACAAACTCCCTTACTCCGGTGTTTAGTGTGTTTTGTGGCAGCCTAACACTCTCTCCATCTGTCTCTGTCTTTCAAATACAAATAAAGAAGTAAAATATTTTTTTTTTTGACTGGCAGAGGTAGACAGAGAGAGAAAGACAGAGAGAAAGGTCTTCCCTCCATTGGTTCATCCCCCAGATGGCCGCTACTGCTGGTGCGCTGTGCCGATCTGAAGCCAGGAGCTAGGTGCTTGCTCCTGGTCTCCTATGCGGGTGCAGGGCCCAAGCACTTAGGTCATGCTCCACTGCCTTCCCAGGCCACAGCAGAGAGCTGGACTGGAAGAGGAGCAACCGGGACAGAATCCGGCGCCGCAGGCGGAGGATTAGCCTAGTGAGCCACAGCGCCAGCCAGTAAAACATCTTTTTTAAAGCCTGCAAACTTGCCCTTGAACCATCTGTAGAAGGCTGAGAACCCAGACTGAGTTTTTTTTGGTTTTTTTTTTTCCTCTTTTTCCCTGCTGAAGACCAGGATGACACTGAGGCCTTGAGGCTCCTGGACCCAGTGCTAGGCCCCTGATCATTTTTTTTTAAAGAGATTTATTTTATTTATTTAAAAGACAGAGTTACAGAGAGAGGTAGAGCCAGAGAGAGAGAGAGGTCTTCCTTACGCTGGTTCACTCCCTAAATGACCGCAGTGACCAGAGCTGAGCTGACCCGAAGCCAGGAGCTTCTTCCAGGTCTCCCACATGGGTGCAGGGGCCCAAGGGCTTGGGCCATCTTCTACTGCTTTCCCAGGCCATAGCAGAGAGCTGGATCAGAAGTGGAGCAGCCAGGACTTGAACCAGTGCCCAAATGGGATGCCGGCACTGCAGACGGGGGCTTTATCCTGCTGCTCCACAGCGCCCTCCCTGACCATTCTTTCCATCTGCTTTTCCAGAAGACAAGAGCCTCTGCGGGCACAGGGTCTCCGTGTGACGTGGGGGCAGCTGGGTTTTGGCACAAGCAGGCTCGAGAGCCCCACCACTGTTGCTGACTGCACGCGTGACTTGGGTGAGGGACCTGTACTTGGTGTCTCCGTTTGGACAGCCATTCCCATGTCGCTTGCCGGGGCCCAGCAACACATTGACGGTGGAATGAGTTGGGGAGAAGCGTGCGGGGTGTGAGGGTGGAGCTGCCCTCTTTTCTTTGGCTCCTGAGCTATTTGTGTCTGTAGAACTAGGGCCTGTCTCTGGAATCAGGGCACCCCCCTTCCCAGGCTATGTGGGAGACTGGGTCACATTTAATCTAGGCGGCTCACGCCTCCGCTTTCACGTAACCACCTCGAGGCTGTTGCCTGCTGTTCCTCTGACCGGAACGTCCTCTGTCCCCGTACCTTCGGGAGACACAGGAGCCCCGACTCAGCGCTCCCATGCGTGCCCTTCGCCAGCTAGTCCAGTTGACTGTGGAGCTTGGCCAGGAATTGAAGCCAGAGCTTAGGGGTCCTGAGAAGTGGGAGAGCAAATAACAGCAAAAGTATTCTGTTCTAAATAGTTTGACCGGTAGTGACCCCCCAGGCAAGGTTATTTGCCGGCTTAGCCAGGGTTTGGGGGAATGGCTGGCAGGCTGGAACAGAGACCAAACTGACCACCAGGGGGCGTAAAAAGCCTGCAGGAGGCACCTGAACATCTCACTTCCCAGAGCAGGTGGTGGAGGTGTGGTGGTGGGTGGGGCCCACACAGCCTGGTTTAGCCCCAGAACTGCAGTGGCGTGAGGTGACAAGTGCTGAAGAGGCCGATCAACTCCTCTTTAAGGACCCAGAGTGTGCTCCAGGCTGAGACTTGGCTCTGAGGTGAGCCAGTCTTGGCTGAGTGCCCTGGAGCAGTGTCCTAACCAACGAGACACTCTCATCTGCAAAACAGGAACCTGAGTGGCACTTACTTCAGAGGGTGAAGTAGCAGAGGGTGAAGAGCAGGGCTGGGTCAGGAAGAGGCCAGTGTCAGGACCCTGGAACTTCATGCAGGCCTCCCACATGAGAGGAGGAACCTGTGTAGTTGAGCCATCACCTGTTGCCACACGGGGCGTATGTCATCAGGATAATGGATCCAAAATGGATTAGGGGCTCGGATCCAGGCACTCCAACGTGGGGCACCCATGCATGTAGGCATCCCAAGTGGCATCTTTACTACGCCACAGTGCTGCCCACTTTTATTTATTTGTTTATTTTAAGATTTTTATCTATTCAGTTGAGAGGCAGAGCCACAAACAATGAGGGAGAGAGAGACAGAAAGATCTTCCGTCTGCTGGTCCACTCCCCAAATAGCCGCAACAACCAGAGCGCCCATCCGAAGCCAGGAGCCAGGAGCCTCCTCCAGGTCTCCCATGTGGGTGCAAGATCCCAAGGACCCGGGCCATCCTCGACTGCTCTCCCAGGCCATAGCACAGAGCTGGATTGTAAGAGGAGCAGCTGGGACAAGAACAGGTGCCCATATGGGATGCTGGTGCTGTAGGCGGAGGATTAACCCACTGTGCCACAGCGCCAGCCCCCCCCCCCCACTTTTTTATGAGCTACCAGCCCCAGGTATTTTGTTACAGCAGTGGAAAATGGACTAAAGGCAGTGTCGGATGTAATTTTACCAGGAGTTATTACCGTCTAGGAAAA